TTAAGTGATTTATCGGACGTAGTGTAATATTAACCTTTCTTTGCTGCTATCATAGATTTGAAGTTGAGAAGTTCATGACCAGCGTGTATTAGTTTGCTAGGACTGCTATTACAAAGTGCATACCAAAGACTGAGTAGCAAATTTCTTTTCTCACAGATCTGGAGGCTAGAAATTTGGAATCAAGGTGTCGCAGGATTGGTTATTCTGAGGTCCTTCTGGGCTTGTAGATGTCTGTCTTCTTCCTATGTCTTTATATAGTCTTTCCTTTGTGTGTATCTGTGACCAAATTTCCTTTTCTTACAAGGACCTGTCATATTGGATTGGGGCTCATCCTAATGACCTCAAATATGTAAAGAATTCATACAACTCAATAACCAAAAATGTATATATATGATTAAAGAAATGGGCAGAGGAACTGAACAGAAATTTTCCCAAAGGGGATGCCCAAATGGCCAACAATACATGAAAGGATGCTCAACATCACTAATCGTCAGGGAAACGCAAGTCAGAACCACAATGAGATCTCACCTCACACCTGTTAGAATGGCTGTCACCGAAAATATGAGACAGCAAGTGTTGGGGAGCATATGGAGGAAATGGACCCTCTGGCAATTATATAAAATGACATAGAATTCTGAAATTTAAAAGATAGAAAGAAACTGAACAGTCACTGAGTATAGCGGCCGAGATTGACAGAGGAGGAAACTGAGGCTCAGAGTGGTTACAGTATTTGCTCCGGTTCTCTTTCCTAAATGCAAGCAGCTCCAGGATTACAGTCCCGGCTCCTTGACTCCTGACCAGGGTTCTTCTCTCACATCAGGCTGTCATTCATAATGAATTTTATCAGACTTTAAAAGACCTCATTTTGTATAGTATCTTTAACACATGGTACTGACGTGTTAGAATTGCAAGGTTTGACAGGGCACTTCATTGCACTGAGATTTCAGATTCCTTTTCTGCTCTCTCGCCATCTATCCTTCCCAAGTAATATACCTGAAAGGGTCTATGTCGCCTAGAACTAAGTGACCCACCCCGTTCATCACTGCCTAAAGTGGGGGTGTTGATTTAGTTGTTTGCATTATAGAACATCTAGAAACTCTGCTTCTCATTACTGACCGTTGTCACCCACAAAACAGTCCTAGACAAATCATAACTTAGTAATAAATATCTATTTTCAGGCTGACAAAAAGAGATAAGGAATGGGGAATGTGAAACTCCAATTCAATTCTAGACATTTGGCCCAATCTACAAGCATTGCTAGAATTTTCTAGACACTAAATAAGAGAGAAAAGCCTATGAGCCTGTACTGAAAAGAGAAGATTTCGCTTAGAGGAAAAATGAAAACTTAAAAAAAAGAGGACTTTTTTGCCTCTAACTGCTTTTTTCCATTGCTTGTCTTTTTCTCTGAAAATCCCTGTAGACAACTTAGAAAAGCAGAACTTCGAAAGTGAAGGACTTGGTTGTTCCTTGAAACAGTGGGTGGGGTGACAGTCATGAGAAGTCCCCTAAAAAAAGCACTGCTTCCGCTGTTCTGTCTTGGGGTTAATTCTTTGAATCTAGGGGAAGTGAGTTGATTTTCCCCTCCTGTTTTTTTTTGGGGGGGAGGGGTGCGAACTGCTGTGTGTGGGTGTTTATTTTTGAAATATCTTATTTTAATTTAAATATTCAAAAGCTTGCAGGTTTATAACATCAACCAATATATGGATGCAGTAGCATGTGCCAACTTGTTTCCTCCCTTCTTTTGTCATGTGAGGGGATTGCTATTCTGATACTTCACTGAACCCAAGGTGTGCATATTTCATAGGCTTCTATTGTTTTGGTTTCTTTTGTATAAGTATTTTAACCTTTATCTCAGCAATATTGATTTCAGTGGGGACTTTCTATTGCTTCAAAAGGAATGCTCTATGCAGAGCCTCCAACAGACGTGGAAAGCAAAATGAGCCAACTCATTCTTGGATTATGGTCTGATTGAAAATAGCTTAAGGAACAATTTTATATTATGCTTAACTGTGCACTTCGACACTTTAATGAGTAATATATACTTTCTGTATTAGTTTTCTATATATTTATTCTCTGTGTACAGACTGTGACACATTTAATTTGTTTTACTGTCATAGTCATGAGTAATGCTCAGTTATTCTTTGAGTATTAGTGATCTTTAATTGACTTTACATAAATATATGTACATCTTGGCTTATTTTTAAAAATTTGCAAAACTTTCGCTTTAAGCTTTTTACCTTATAAATTGAATCAATATCAACCAAATTGGTTAAGTTAACAATGGAAGTTTCTATTAGATAATTGTTTATTTATGTGTATAATATAGTTACCAATCATAATTGTACTCTCTGTTAAAGCAATTTTGAATTTCTTGGACAAACTTGAAAATACCAGGAGTAAATAGGAATGTATTAAATTTGGTTCCTGCTCTCAAAAGTTAGGTAGAATAATTGGAAACATCTTAGTAGTAATATTTTAGTCAGAATCTGGACATTATTGAAATTCAATCTTTAAAATAAGAACAAAATCATTGTTGACCCACAGTTGCCACATCCATTTCTGCCAGTTATTCTTTATGACAGTCCACCCTTCTACCGTTTGTGTGCAAATGGGACTCGATACCCACAAGGCTGTGAGCCCCCGCAGGAGCGGTGCTTGCCCCAGAGAACGATTGTCCTTTTTCTAAGGAGCAGCTTCTGCTTTTCAAGTCCCACAGGACAGCCTGGAGAGGGAATCTTTTTCAAACTGGTACAATTGAGATATATGGGACAATGAAGGCCCTGTTATTGAGGACCTTTTCATGGATGAATTGGGTTTCAGGGAAGGCCATTAGAAGTGGTGAAGATTTATTATCCGGATCGCAGGAGGGAGAAGGGGAGCCGCCTTTAGCGTGGGTGGAAGCACAAGGTCTGGGGGAATCAGACACGCGCAGCAGTTAGTGAAGAGTCTAGATTGATTGGGACGAAATGTGCGCCACGCTGATGACGGGAGGCTTCGATGGGAAGGGTCAGCAGGGGTCAGGCTGTAAGGATCTGGGTACAGGGTCAGGAATTTGGATCCCATCCTCCAGATGAGAAGTCAGCCGAGGCGTTTGTCCAGCTTCATCACGCGATCAGTGATAAGTTATTTGAGGCAGATTAACCCAGGGTCATGCAGCGTAGACTAGAAGGAGTAAGGAGAGACGAGCGGCAGGAGGCAGGGCTAGAGGGTGCTGTATACAGTACGTGGCTTTCCCTGTGTAGCCCAGGATCTAGTGAGGATGAAAAGGAAGAGCTGACTTGGAAGTTTTTTGTTGTTTTTATTATGACAAATGTTATTATTTTTACCTGATCTCCAAAAGGAATCCATATTTATTATAGAAAATGTTAAAAATATGGATATGTACATGAAAGAAAATTAAAATCACCCATTCTCATTTAAATCATAGATGAACACTTGGCATTTTAGGTATTGTTGATTTTTTCTGTTTTGTTTCAATTTATGTATGTTGACATTATGGTATAGTAACACTATTTTTGTACAGCTTGTTATTTTTGTCATTTACTACATAGTAGGCATTTCTTTTGTTAATAAAAATTCCCAGAAGACCTCATTTTTAATGGCTGTTCACTATTTTGGTTCCAGAGTAGTGTAACTAACTATTCCAACTATTATAAATTTAGAATTTTTTCAACTTTTTTGTTATCATTATTAATACTACTATAATGAACATCAATCAACATAAATACTTTATTCCACACTCTTCTCCCCTCCTCCAGAAAATATTAAGTTAAAAAATAATAAAGAACTAAGTTGAGCATTTGTTCATTTATTTATTTAGCCTATTTTGATTTCAGTTCTGATCCACCACTTCCTACCTTTCGTACACGTTAAGAATTGGGGGAGGGGGTCCTTATCGAAGATGTATTGAAATTATTGTCTTATTTTGTTGCTTGCTATTTAAAATGATGTCTTTTAATCCATTGCTTTACATATGGGCATTTAGGTTTTCAGTTTTTCTCTGTTTTAAACAACACCATGATGAATATCATGGCACATATTTTCATGTGCACAGATAAAAGGATATAAACGTTAAAAGTGAATTACAAGGGTTTGGAACATATAAATCTTCAACTCTAAAATCTTATGTAAACAGAAGCAATTTACACTCACTTCTGTGGGCAGAGCGGAGAAATTGCAGTTTACCTACATCCTTGGGAATCCTTCCTTTCAAATGCTTGCAAATCTAATGAATGTGAAATAGTATCTCATTTTGTTTTGCTTTTCTCTGATAACTAACGAATTAGCATGTTTTTATGTCTGTTCGCTATTCAGGCTTCTTGTCTATAATTTGCCCATTTTTTATTTAGTTACAGTATTTGTCCCTTTTTGTATACTCTGGATACTAATCCTGTGAAAGTTATACAGTTTGCCAAGGTGTTCTCCCAGTATCTGTCTTTTAAGCCTTTTCATTAAAAAGAATTTTAGGCAAATTTATCAAAGTTATATTTTATAGTTTGGGTGTTTTCTATCTTGATTAACAAGTTCTCCAGTGGTGAAGGCTTTTCACCTACATTTCGTTGTGATTCTTTAGGAGTTAATTATTTTATATTAAATTTTTAATTCACCTGACACACACTTGCTTCACTACATAGTGATTTTCTAAATTAAGGAAAATGAAAAGTGAAAAGCAAACAAAAATTTGGTAAATTGTATTATAGTTTCCATTGTAAGTCTGTAATTGAACCATGAAGACGTTTTAGTTTTTATTTAAGGACTAGGTAGCCACATCCACTTCAATTTGTGGTAATGAAATGAATGCCTTTCTCGTCGACGACACAGAAGATCTATCAGAGTTCATCTGCATGAAGTCTTGCAAAATAACTGCTACTAATTGGAATTGAAAAGGATCTGACTTCCCGTGTGTTTACAGCCTTAGTCTACCTAACTTCTTGTATAAGTCCAGAAGGAATACATTGTTGTTTTTAAAGCAGTTAACATAGAGTTCTTTTTACTTTCAGCAATTCACAGAAGCTGTGAGTCCTTCAGTGCTGCCCCCTTCAGCTTTGCCACTGGACCAGCTTAATAACGCTGTCGCTGCCTTTAGTACCTTGGAAGATCTAATTCGGTATCTTGAACCAGATAGATGGCAGCTGGACTTAGAAGATCTGTATAGGCCAGGTTGGCAACTTCTTGGCAAGGCTTTTGTTTTTGGAAGAAAATCCGGAGGTAAGCTCTCTCTTCAGATTAGAATCTCATCTAATTTTCTAAACTGCTAATGTTTCAGATTCTTCTGACAGCTTCTAATGAGTAGAGTTAAGAATTCTTCAGTGATATATTTAAATAATCCATTTTAATTACAGTTGAGCTTATTCACACACTAAATAAGAATACATACAAAAGAAGGCACTTCATTATAACTCAGCGAATTTGGAAGAGGGATACTTTCACTGAAAATTCTTGTCATTTTTTTAATTCAAAAATATCATTTTTATGGTCTCCTATTACATTTTACAAGAATCTTTACTTATTCAAACCTAATATTTGGGGTGTATTGATTCAGAGATTCAGGAGAGATTATCATAGCTGCTAAGGAAACCCTTTTGGAGCTAGAAAAGGGGAAGCTCTACCAAATTCATTACGTACCATGTCCCCTTGGGTCAGGGTTGTATCAATTTCTATTTCCAAAGCCTAGAAACTTTTCTAAATAATATGAAAAATAACAATGGCTCACCATAAAACAGAACTAGTGATCTCCAAGACAGAATGCCTAGGAAGTAGGAACCCACACCGTGATGATGTTTCTCTTTCTAAATTTGCTTGTGACATGGTCACTTTTGACCATAAGAGCGCAGCTCCCTTCAAGAGTGAACGTGTTAATCGTTCAACTCAATCCCCACAAGAAATCGAAAGCAATGTGAATTAACTTTACTCTAAGGTTAGCTAATTTCTTAGTCACATTAGAATGTAATAGAAATAACTGAATAATTATAACACACAAAAAAACCACAAGTCTGTTGCCGTCTGCCAGAAACATTGCAATCTACCCAGCGTCACTTTGGAGAATGGAATGACTGGAAAATGCACGTAGAAGGAGCCACGTTGGTTGATGGGAGTGACTCACAGGGGCAGATGGCAGCAGACTTGTTCGAAAGCTTGTCAGAGAGGAGCCCGCTTCCTGCCTTCGGGCCGGAGCTTTCATCTGGCGGCCTGCTGGGGCCTGCCCCCCGCTCGCTCTGCAGCCGGCTGCTGCCTTCAGCGCCCTGTGAAGCCGCGTTCGCGTCCCGGGGCGGCCGCATCTTGTCCAGACGCTGAAAGCTCTTACATATTTATAAGATTGGATCTTGATGAATAACTTGATGCATACGTTACGAACAATACTTCCCTTCCCTCCCACCTCCGACAGGAGCGGGAAGATCTGCAAGGCTGGCTCAGACACCCGTGAATAGAGCCTTTGTTCGCAAATTTGAAGTAGATTATCGTGTCGATCTGTGAACAGCAGAGGATGCAGACCAGGTTCTGAGCTCAGATCTAGTTTTTGGAGGGCCAATCTCAGGATCCTAGCGTGAAAATCTCCCTTGTAAGTCATATATGCCTTTAGGCCTGTGCCTCTGCGCGGGGTGATCAATGGCTTGGCCAGAGGCTAGCGTATATTGAAAAGCATCCAGCGCAGAACCAGATCTTTCAAATATTCATTTAGCACTTTCCAAATTGAAGCCCTTTGCCGTTTGCCAAAAGTATTAACTTTTTAAGCATACAGTAAGTGTGAGAAAAGCAGTGTATATTTTTGGAACTTTACATAAACTAAAATGCAGGTGTGGGATAACATCTATATAGACAAAACCAACTTCCCTCCCAAGAGTCTTTCTACAAAGGAATGAAGAGTAAAACGTTTAAAAGCTTCTAATTAGACATCGAAATAGATTTCCCACAGAATAAACATATCACAGTGTTACCACATTCATCTTAGAAAGACCACCCTCAGATTGCATTACAGGAATAGAATATTCTTGGGCTATCTCAAAAGAATGAACAACTGACAAAGTAAAATGTGAGCATGTTTTTTTTCCAGTTAGTATTACCTTTTTTAGTAAAACTTGCAATATTGATGAATCTAAACAAGAAAATTTGCATTAGAAATAACTTTCATTGGTGTCATACTCAAAATCTTCATCTTTTAGAAAGACAAATTAATGCATGGGTTGTCTTAGGAGGTAGTTTTGAAAAGGAAATAAGGAATGTTGCATTTTACTTTACAAATCTTTTGCAGAGGATTACTTCCTTAATATTATAGTTTAAAAAGTAAGTATGTGTTGGGGCACGATATTTTTCAATAGATTATTTTCTCTTATTATTATTGCCTAGAAATTCTGCACAATGTTTAGAGTATTTGTGATCCCAATTTATCACAGTACTTATTTTAATGAAACTTAGATGGGTTTGAAGCCTTAGAAATAGGAAGCATAACTTTCACATAAGATTACCAATTTAAAGCCCTTATTGTATTTTTAGCCCAGAGTAGACAGCACTAATGTTTTTCTGTTTCATTATTTTCCCTTCCTCTGGTTCAAGGTTTTCATTCATACCATGCTACTACAGAAAGAAAAAGAAAAAATGCATATTTTCTAAGTCAGGCTTAACTAGTACTTAAAAGGGGCTTTGGACTTTTGTGTCAAACATGATAAATGAGTGGAAGCTAAGTTGAAAGTGTGTTTAAATTTTCACATTGTAGCAGGTATCATAACTTAGTTCACTTGGGAAATCTATCTAACCTTTTATTGTGGTTAAGTAAACATTTTAAAGTGAACATATACAGTCTCATTTTCTAGTTTCACGAAATAGTGTGTTTAAAACTATTTGAGGTAGATAAATATCCTTTCAAAGCTAAGAGCTTCATTCACATTCTAAAGAAGTATAAATCTTAAATAAGCGTTGCAAATTTTGGCAACTGGCTTTTGTATGTGTGTGCATGTTTTAAGTTTTCTTCCTTTCTTACCCAGATAGTAACTTCTAGAGAAAAGAGTCAAATAAAACTCATATATAGCTTTAACAATCAAGAGTGGTATGTACATATACTATTAGTTCATCAAAATGAAATCAGGTAAAATATGTGACATCATCTAACCTGATAATCTCATTAATTTTATTAGAGATAAATTGGTCTTTTATAGCACTCAAACGAATGAATTCATTTCCCCTTAAATAATCAAAAGCTTTACTTTCAAGGGATCATTTTTCAGATGAAAAGAAAATCTTTTAATACTCAAATACAGTGATTTTTCTATTGAGTTGGGAAAAATAATTTTTAACTGACTAACATGTTGAAATGAACCTATTGAATGAACATTCCTTAGTGTTTTCCTAAACCTGACCAAGGTTTTAGTCAAACATATATATGGTTCATATGTGTTCATAATTTATGATAACATATGCATATGATTACATATGCATTACATATACATATGTAATACATTTCTTGAAAATACATTAGCTCCCTTTGACATTTTAGAAACGCTTGATCACATATACAATGTAACATAGCCAAGAAAATAAGCATTTGATTTGTAATTACCTTGTCATTTTAAAATTATTTTAAAATATTGGCACTTAGTTTTTAAAACTGGATTACATAGTGATGATTATTATTTGAAGCAATCTTTAACCAGATAATATGTTTTTCCTTTTCTCTCAATTCTTGTTTATAATGTTTCCAATATTAGCAAAAGGTACTTAACTAGATTTATTATATTATAGATAATTTTCCTAAATTTTGATAAACCCTTATTTTTTTTTACTTTTTAAATGTTTTTATTAATTTCAGAGAGAGGAAGGGAGAGGGAGAGAGAAATAGAAACATCAATGGTGAGAGAGAATCATTGATTGGCTGCCTCCTGCACGCCCCCGACTGAGGACCGAGCCCGGAATCTGGGAATGTGCCCTGACCTGGATTTGAACCATGATCTCCTGGTTAATGGGTCAATGCTCAATGGCTGAGCCATGCCCGCTGGGCAAACCCTTAATTTTCTGAAGGTAAAAAAAACTCTGATCAGTTATATGTTATCCAAAACTCTTCAGTTTTATTGGACTAATTTTTATTTGAATATTTCTAAGGGAGAAAAAAAGCATAGCTATAAAGCAGAAATTAAAATAATATTAGAGATGTTTATCCTAATAATAATTAACTACTATATATGTTATATATAAATTCATATTAAACATTACATGTTATTTGGTATAATTTAACTGAGGCAGTATGATTTTGTAGTTAAAAACAATGGTTCTTTGATAATTTACTGCAACATTCTGATGAAAGGATATTTTGTTTGGTCTTGACAAATAGGTGTTCTTTTAAAGAATAAAACACAACATGTTTAACCAACTTGTTAAGAGAATGGAGACAATGGTTATAAATTAGACATTTCTTCCACTCTTTTAAAAAGAGAAGAATAGAAATCTGAGTTAAATTAAATTTCAAAGACCAGAAGTTCTCAACACACCAGAAACAGCGCTTTCCATAACCTCTGCCCCTTTAAAATGGTGCACTCAGCTGTCTTCAAAATTTCATTTTCTTTTTACATTTTATGATTCTTATTGCTGAAAGATTATAGGAAGTTCTGTCTACAAGCTTCTGTAAGCTGTTCTTCATTAATTGCATGAGCTTGTAATCCTTTTTAAAACTGCATTTGTTTTTACTAAAGTATCCATTGCTTTACATTCTATTCTTCTTCCCAATAGTCTCCTTGTTTACTTTTCCACTAAGGTTAAAAGGTGTAGCCCTCTTTTTCCTCTGCAGTTTCCTATTTATAGCTCTCAACTGTTTGGTTGGCTCTCTTCTTACTATTGCACAATGACATCTCTTTATTGGCCACTAAGTCATAATGAAGCTTTGTTTACTATAAAATAGAAAGTCCAACTTGCAAGCTGCATAGCTGCAAAACTTAGCTAAAATAAGGAGGGACATTGTCAGGATTATTGTTCATGAAATCGTTTGATTTCTCTGTGAAAAGAGTTTCATGAAATACATTCAAGCTCAAAGCTCTAACATCTATTTTTTCTCTTTCTTTTATGCCGTGCAGTGATGGATCTGAACCTTCTAAAAGAGGAGGTAAGGTTGTACAGCTGCACACCTCGTAACTTCTCGGTGTCCATAAGGGAAGAACTAAAGAGAACCGATGCTATTTTCTGGCCAGGTTGTCTCCTGGTTAAACGCTGTGGTGGAAATTGTGCCTGTTGTCTCCACAATTGCAATGAGTGTCAATGCGTCCCAAGCAAAGTTACTAAAAAATATCATGAGGTAGGTATATCATTTTTCTTTTTGGGTTCCTTTGGGTGTTGTGTTCCTTTAAAAATAACAAAACAATGTATCTGAAATGAATTTTTGTTCAGAAATATGTAGCATTCTTAACACACACACACACACACACACACTGTATGTTCTCATTTTTAAAATTAGGACTTTTAACTTAAAAACCCCAGACATTAAGGTTATTGAAAGCTTATCCTCTGATAGTAAGTACACCATGGCTAGTCAATGAAGTTTTTGTCTCTCATACAAAAAACAAAATGTGTTCTTTTATAGGGTAAAATATGGGTGAAATTTTTCAACTTTTCAAAATCTGAAGGGAAATATTTTAAAGAGAATCTTAGAGATAAATTATTGTCTATTTTGGAGAAAAACGATCTTTGATATTTATTTTTCCATTTGAGATATGTGAGCTCATAAATCCCAAGAAGACACATTCATAGTTATACACATCTTCCTATTATTCATGTTGCCCCAAATAGCATGTTATGGATGCATCGCTTTTTTATCTCATTATAGAATCAAGAAAAATCCAACATTAAATCTTAGTAATTGCTGTTTTTCAGGGCCTTGGGAACCTTAGAACTTATACACTCCAAATTTGGTGCTAGAATATCCCAAATTCTATCCTACCCTCTCTCCAAGAGCATCATGTAGGATTCATACATCACTAAGCCATTCCTTCTTGATGAGTCAACTTTGATCTTTACAAAATGTTTACTTTATCCCAAGCCCAAATCGGCTTTCCTGACTTAATTTCAATATAGCTTCATTTCATTACTTTTACTTTTTCTACTAAATAAAATAAGAATAAAAATAAATATCTGCTTAGTAAATAGAATGATTATAAAGACATCAATGAAGCCCATATCTGTTAGGTAATCTAAACATGGACAGTGTCCTAAACTGTACTGCATATGACATGGTTGTCCTACCCTTCAACAATATTGCCTTAGCAGCTGATACAATGGAGGAAAAAAACACTGGATTCCAGAGGACAATGGACTTTGTTTCCATCCTAGATCTACCTTTAACTTGTATCCATCATCAGGATACATAACTTCAATAAAATAGTGTAAGATATGCAAATTATCTGGTTTTTCTTAAACTGTTATTGCATGGCAATTACTAGGCTGCAATTTTTAGAAGTAACATCCCAAACTAGAATCCTTTGAATAAAAATAGGACAATTTACTGCCATTACACATGTTCCATTTCATTAATACACTCCATTCTTCTAAAGAGCCTTGTGCTGGGGATAGTCTCCACTCCAGTGTCAGGAAGTAGACAATCATGAGCTTGGTGGCTGGAGGAGCTCCAACCAGGCTATGCCCAGAGGCCAGCCTTATTGCTGCTCCGTGAACTGGGATATCTAATCAAGAAGAAACCCTTAATATAGTAGTTTTAAAACAGGTTAAACTTAAAATATCTTAGGGCCAGGCTGATAGTAGAGTTGAATGGCCTAACACAAAAGGATGTAGTGAGAATAGGAATTAAACTTGAATGATCTTTTCCTGCCTAAAGTCATTCAATTTTGAACTCTCTAAAGCAGGTCCTTACTAAACAAAGTGTGTCTGGGAACCTGATTTAGCCAACAGATCTCGAGTACATGACCACCTTAAGAGCTGTAAAATCCAGACCAGCTGGATTAGCCTCAAACCAGCTTATCAGATGCTGGCTCCCAACTATGCTTTTGGTCGGATACGTCATATAAAGCATATCCTCCCCCATCCTATACGTGTAAATTTCTTTTCAAATGACATTAGTTTTAGGGTTATGCAGGAAGTTGCCACAGAATTTATAATATCTGTTTTAAAGTGTCACATAAAACTTATGTGGGGAAAGACTGTGGACACTGCTTGTAGCCTCACTGTCATTCTTTCAGAATGACATTGAGCCATTACTCTCTAGTCTTTGGGTGGGAATGATTACATATATACCTTTATATATGTGTATATATACATATATAGCTTTACATGTGTAATTAAAAGACCATCGAGTGTAAGTTTCCCACATCTCTAAAGTGTGTGTGTAGAAATATAGTTACACAGTTACCTACTTCACGTTTCTCACAAATAGCTCCAGTAATACCCATGTCTTAATTTTTTATCATTCATTTTTGTGTGATCATTTTTTTGTTAATGATCAAATAACTCTGGGGGGGGGGGGTTTATTTGGCGAAATTCATAATTTCTGAAGCCTGAATATTTCTTGGTCTTATATTTTAGAAATAAGTTTTTAGTCTAATACTACTCCTGAATAAATGAAATTATTTTTTAAACATAACTTAAAAATTACTAAAAGCACTAAGTCATTGAATTGCATTAATCTGGATCAAGAGATTTAATGTATTGAAAGTGAAGCCCGTCTTGGGCTTTCATTATTTTTGATGAGCATTTTCTCATTTTCACTTTGAAGATTAACCCCCCGCACGGAGAAGGCAGAAGCAAAGACAGAGCTGAAAAGTTCTAAGTTTTCTCTCCTTCATCTATTTCTATTCTACCATCTTCCCTAAATATTAAGCTGAAAATATTTGCTGTGTGCCTACAAATATAACTGAAATATTCCCTCTTTCAATTTCCTTTAGCATTTTCACTGAGTTTTGTTCAACCCTTGTACCAAAAATAAGTTTAGAAAATTAAAAGGCTCATAAAATATAAGAATATTATTTATCATGTTTTAACATAATATTATAGCATAATAATATTAATAATAAGATCCTTACTGCTCTTGTATCAATCACCAGATACTTTTTGTTGGAAGACATTTTAGCCTATATATATCTTTAACAACTTTGCTCCCTCAGAAGACATTTTAGCATATATATATATATTCTTAACAATTTTGCTGTCTCTGTATTAGGATTTTTCAGAAAAGCAAGATGGGAACTTTGTGTATGTATAAACTCTGATACTACCTCTTCCAAAAACATGTTTTAGTGTCCTGTCAATCCCAGTATAACTAGTCCATCCTTCTTCGTGGATGTGCGGGATTTTAAGTTTCTCTCTGTTAAAGAGCATTTACTATTTCATAGCTTATTTGTTTCTACCAAATTGAGGCCTAAAGAAGAACAAAAATCACATTACACTATAGAGCTGAAGAGCATAGACACCAAAGCCAGACATCCAGAATTTGAACATGACGTTTGTTAGCAATGTGACTTTGAGCAAATTACTGAATCTCTTGTGCCTTGATTTCCTCACCTGTAAAGTGAGTTTCCAACCCTCATTTCTTATTATGAGGATTCATGGAGTGATATCTGCAAAATACTTAGCACAAGGTCTGGCACATTTCAAGCCCTTAGTATACGCTAGCTTTTCTCTCTCTCTTTATTTTTCCCTCTGCGCCTAGCCTTCTTCCTCCATTACGGCAAATGATCAATAAAGATTTGATGAATTTTCCTCAAAGGTAGGAAGGGTATTCTCATTCTGGAAGAAAGATCTATAAACTACTCTAACAATACACCTGTTTTGTTTATTTTTCCCCCATTTTTAATCAGCCTAATGATTTTTACTTTGTTTATATCTCCATATATTTAATTTCATTTTTCATAACTTAAAGTATAGTCTTACATTTTTATGGATAGATGTTTGTTTTGGGGGAAAATATACCAGTCAATTGACTTATTCTAGCAATAAGTCCCATCCTCCAAGGTCCTATGGCACCCAAAAATTTAAGGGCACTTTGCATACTTTGGACAATGATACCTGTGTCTCTATTCCTTGATGGGTCCTTCTGTATCTAATCTATTGCTTTCCACTGGTTTTAGCTTTTCCCTGGATTATTTTTTCATGAGCTTGTAGTTATAATTTGAACCTCTCCCTTAATATTTTGTGAGATGTGCTTCTCTGCCTGGTTTCCCTTCTGGTGTCCTAAACTATATCCTGAAAAGCTAATTATCATCTTTCATACTATCTGGGACCTGCTGGTCATATTCCAAGTCCAACTTTTCTCAAGTTAGAACTTTCAAACAGAATTAAGAAGGAAAACAATAAGGGTGGTCCCACCATCATGTTAGAATTTCTTGTCCCGGTCATCAACGTCACTAGAACAGTAAGAGACTCTTCTTCCTTTGTAAACCTCCACAAACATCAGGGCATGAAGGCT